CTTGCTCTTTGGGGCTGCAGACTAGGGTTCATAAGGAACAGTCGATGTCCCTACCCTGTGTGTTGACAGGTTTGGTTTGTGAGCAGGCCATGGACAGGTTGGAGCTCTGATCCTTTTGTGTGTTTCATCTCCAGAAAGGAACGAGTGGGGCTGTGCTACTGACCAGCTCATCGCCCTTAAATCTGCTATCCTCATCCTACAAGACAGGCGGCCCAAAGCTGCCCGGGGCTGTGAACTCAAACTCCCTGGGGATCATCTCTCCGTTTCCTCTCCGTGTGCTCTCCTTTAGCGCCGACTCCTCTGCCAAAGCAGGGGTCTCCAAGGATGCCATCGTCACGGGCCCTGCCCCTGGGACGTTTCACCATGGCCTCAGCCACAGTAAGTGCTTCTCCCTTCCCTCTCCTCATTTGGGGGCACAAAAGGTGCCCAGGACTACTTCTGTGATCAGTGAGTTCTGTTGTCGTGTACGGGGTTCCCGTGTGTGTCTGGTGTGTGGCTATGGGCAACATTTTCAGGGATCGTGCTGAACCCTTCCCCAGGGTCTTTCACCAGGACTGGCCAGTAGGTTGTCTGGGGCTCTGAATCACCAAGGATGCTTTTCTGTTCTTGTCTTCAATGTGCGTGTCTTGTTCTTTTCTTCCCTCCTGTTTTCTCTCAGGTCTCCTGGCTGGCTTGCACTCCAGCCCGCCCCACGCAGCACCTCTCCCACACGCTGCCGTGTCTACCCACGTCCCGCAGAGTCTCCCAGGTAATTAATTGCCAGGTGGTCAGAGTGCCATGTGCACTGTGTGTCATTCCCCTCTCCAGTCAGTAGATGCCGTCTGCTGCCAAAGATTTCAGTATCTTCACCATATTATCACTGTGCTGTCTTGGTTTGTCCTTTGAGGCTCTTGTTCTGTGGGTACTTGGAATGGGACAGGTTTCCTCCACTTTGTGATTTCCCCTGGTCCCCTGCCACTGGGTCAGCCTTACCCCATGTGATCACAGAGGAAGTCAGGGTGACCTGTGTGCAAGGCAAAGGAATCCCCAACCCTTGGCTAGTTGGGGCACTACAGGCCTTTAAATTCAAGCTGCTATACCTTCCAGGTAGTACCAGCTAACAAAAGGCTCTGTAAATTTAGTTTAAGTGAAAGGGGAAGTCCAAGTAGTAGCAAGAGGTCACAGTGGCAGGGCCTCAGGAGGGACCTTTACCTCTGATGTCAGCATGTATTCAAGAGAGGAGCAGCTGTCAATTCAGTTCAGATGTAAAGGCAGAGAGTTGGGAGCACAACAGGACTTGGGACAGCGTTCCCTCTTTCCTTCTCCCAATTTTCTTCTCCAGAGAGCAGTGATTTTCAGAAAGGGGCACTGTACAAGCTCTAGGTTTATAGCTGTGAGAAGCTGGCACCTTTGTCATCAGCAATTGGCCTTACCCTGTGCTAGGACCTGATTCTTAGCTGCAGCTAATGGAATGCTGTTGTAGAGCCTCAGGGATCTTGGTTTTGGCCTACTACCCTTACTACGCTCTGGAAACGACCAGGGGCCTCATTGGTCAGGGAGAGCCATGCTTCAGGAAGCCGAGCCTGGAGCTGCCCTGGCAGACTGATACCCGGTGGCAGTGAGATGGAATTCATCCAGCTGGGCATGCCTGACACCTGCTGTACTGAGAGCACTGGCCTCGACATGGCTCAAGTCTGTCCCAGATTTTGCAGTGGGTCCCTGGCCCCTGTGTCCTTAAACTGATGCATTTGTAGTGAATGCCAGCAGCCATCTGGGTACAGGAGTGGATTGTAAATCTCCAAGATGGAATTGTTGCTTCTCAAATAAAAACCTAGGGCTAAGCTTGTATCAGCAGTTACTCCGTTTTCCCCCGGAGAAGCAGTAAAATGTAGTGTGGACTTGCTCCACAAACTGGTGGCTGCCGCTGTAGCTGAGATGATGATATAGGCGTTGCAGAGCTACCTGGGTGAGAGCTTGTGGTTTTTCAAAGAGAGATTGCACTGCTTCTGCTGCTTTTAGGAATGTCACCCTTTTAAACAGAGACAATAATGAAGAGCCTTTGGAATGTGACTGTTGGTCTGTGGTATTTTCAGCAAAAAAAGGGAAAAGTGCTTTCTTGTACCATTTCTTCCCTGTTTTTCCTCTGGGTATTAAAAGGCTATCCGAAAAGCATCTGTGCTAAAACAGGCGGAGTAGGCTTTTCTTCTCTCCTTTAGACCTTCTTCAGGTTATAGGATTCCATTGAGTGGTTGTAAATGAGAAGCTGTCTGGACATTTTAATTGTGTAACTTATTTCTGATTTGCTTTTTTTCCTATGTGGACTCAGAATGCTAGTGCCTTTGAACTTGTCTTTATAGAACCTGAGGATCTGTTGATGGTGAGAATGTTGACTGCTCCTTGACTTCAATGTGACTATCAAACCCCATCATGGAACTCCTGTGCCATTGCATAGTTGTAGCCAAGAACAGAAGTGGCCCACATTGCATAATAGAGTTGCTGTGAACACAGCACTCCGTGAGCAGCTGCCTTCATGCTGCAGGCTGCTATAAGTAACAACACACTGAAATCAGCTCTGTCAAGTGTTTGTGGCTCGTTTGAGCCTCAGCATACTCAACATACAGAAGTGACCTCCTTGAGGTTTGGTTACTGCTGCCTTAAGAAAATCAGAGATCCTGAAAGATTTATATTGTTTTTGCTTATTCTTTTCCAGATGCTTCTCAGCTTCATGGGAAAGGGGCTGGTGTTCCACGGAAATTGTGACCTCTTCAGAGGAAATGCTGGAAGCTGAACTAGTAGGTCTCTGAAAAATCGGATAATCAACACGCTCTTTCTGCCGATTGGTTTTCTTCTGGAGAAGGCGTGAGTGCTAAGTGGACCGTCTCTTGGCACTTGTGACGTGCCTTCACTTGGGAGCAGCCTCGTGCTTCTCCAGAGGTACTGACTGGCCTGGTGATCCGGGCCTCGTGGCTTTGTCGTGGACAATCGTTGGAGGGGCAGCTCTAGGCTGGGAAGTGTACTGGGTCATGTATGGAGCTCTGGTGACAGGACTGAGCGTTGGCACACCTGTGTTGTAAGTCTGCCCAACCCCCTGGCATTTGGTCAGAGTAACTCATGGCACCCCATTGGCAGGGGCTCCTTTTGGCCACCCTAGGGTCCCTGGATGGTCATGGTGTCTATCCCATCCTCAGGCTGTGTGCTCAATGGACAGAAACCCAGGCTAATGCCATAGCTGGGGGACTTACCTTGTCTCGTTGAAAAATACTCAGAACAGCTAGTGTGTGCTCATCACGGGGGCCAGTTTATCCTCTAAACATGACAATGAAGCTCTTTTAAAGAAAGATCTTTGTAGATTCAACAATTGTGATAGGATTTTTAAAGACACTTATTTTTGGCTGTTTTCATCATTACCATCAATGCGTTGGATAGAGTGGGACTGTTCTTCACATGTCATATTTTCACACGTCATATGGAAGACATAATCCCAGTGCCTTTATGGTGGAGCAGAATTAGACACACACCCATTAGGCCCTCTGTGTGGCTCTCAGATGAAGACCTTTTTAAAAGATGTCTGTACTTAAGACATAGCCAGTTTATTTGAGGTTTTTTATCATTGCACATCATAATCTCTGCCGTCCTGACTTAAAGGTCATCTGGGTCCTCAAATCCCAGGTCCCCATTCAGCCAGGGCCTCTGTTTTGTTTTTCCAGAGTTCATACAGGTGGACTGCAGAGCCCCAAAGGCCTTTGAGGGCAAGGATATGAAAGGTTCCAAGTTACAGATAGACATTCCAGCTTATTTAGAAATCATTCTCAGGCAGAGCTGCAGGTGTGGGCCTTTGTGAAGTGTCTGCTGTATAGACAGGCCTTGAAGTCCTAGGGCTCTCCAGGCAGCGGGGCTATGCCTGACTTAAGGGTGACGCACCACTGAGCTTGGAGAGTGCATTAGAGACAGACTTAAGACAATTAACCCGGAGCTCCCAAGTCATTACGCTGTTCCCATTTAACCATTGGCTGCTTCATGAGTTTTAGGGCACTTGCCTGTCCTGTGAAGTCTCTGCCATAGGCATGTCTCAACTGACTGCTCCAGCTAAGTGATTTCAAATATTTAGAGAGTAAATAGCCTCCTCAGAATGTAGACCTATGTGGAGACACAGGCAGCTCTTTTGGTTCCTGGCACCCAGGGTCCAGTGCTCAGTAACTCATGCTTTATGCTGAGGTTTGTCTAGTGTCGGAGGAGCAAGGCCTCTGCTCTGACTTTTTACATAGGAACCAACACATGTTTCACATGGGGCTACATGGATTTCTTATCCCTTTATTATATATATATTTTGCAACTTGGATTTCCAGTTTGTTTACAGAATAGTCTTAGGAAGTAGCAAAAGAGCCAAAGAAGAGATTTGTATTGCTGAGCTCAGAGCCGTGCAGAGACTGCCTATGAGCTCCTTTTCTGCCCAAGACATCCGGTTCCCCTGCAGTGCCCCCTCTTCCCCACATACCATTGAGTGTGCAGCTGGAGCAGAATACCCTCATTTATAGGAATCTAGTGATGCCTCTTGCCTCAGGGAAACGTTTCTTTGATGGGGAGATTTCTTTTTCTTGTTTATGCTTTATTTGTGGTAACGAAAGAGTGAATGACTTAAACAGCCATGGCAAGGCAGATCTACAGGCAGAGCGGGCTCCGGGCCTGGGGGCTGCGGTGCTGCAGGGCTTTCCTTGGTGCGGCCGTTTCTTAAGTGTGAAAGGGGCTGTGGCTTTGGTGCAGCCACTAGGTTGGTATTAGGGGGTGGTGTGGAAATTGTTAATCTTGTATAAAGCAACTTAATAAATTGTTTCAAGGTTTCCAATACATTGTTTCTCATTCTTTTTGCCATATTTGCTAATAATTCTGTCTCCCATAGGAACTGGTAAGTGATTGGGACTGGTAAATGGATATCCATATGGGATATCCTGGCTGAAAACCAAGAGGGAGTAGGGGCAATAAATCACATACACAAAGGAGGAAAAAACACACTTAGCATAAAATTAGAGTCAAGCCACCAGGTGTTTATTTTTTACGCTATAAGGTGGAGTTGTCTATTTCTTTCCCTTGTCTTATGTAATATAGGAGATACAGAGAACCTGAAATTAATTTGGTGAAAAATCAACTGTGTAGTATACCTAAGTACCAATTAGAGAATAAACAAGACTTGTAAGGCCCTGAAGCTAAGGCTAATAGCAACACAGTCCACAACGAAAACACTTTAATTTCAGAACCAGAAAAGTCTCGAGTGGTGTGTTCTCCTGGGACAGTCAGGCTGACAGAGGGGCCTGTGCTGGTTTCTTTGCGTCTTTTCTGGCACAGATCCCAGATCTGTCTCACCATTAGAAGTCTGACGGAAAGTTGGCTCTCAGCCAGACTCCTGGAGGGGTGTGAATGCAGGTCGGCAGCCCCAAGGGGCCCAGTCCTTTGATGAATGGAAAGGTGTGTAGAAGAGAGGCCTTTCTGCCCTAGAGTTTCCCCATCTGGTGTGCGAAGGCCATTGCTGCATGGAGTGGCTGGTCTGCCTCAGTGGTCTTGTGCTTTAGTGTTCAGATTGCTTCCAGGTTTCCCACAAGGAGTCTGTTGATGGACGTGTGTAGGACAAGGGAGAGAAAAGAAGGGCTTTGTGATTTTGAATCATTGGAGGATGAAGCAGGTCTCTCACCTGGGTGAACTGATGGTGCAGCCAGTGACCATTCTGCTTGTACGTGAGCTATACTCTGAGTAGCTTTGCCGAGAAGGCGTGGGTGGCATGCTCAGCTCCGCACGGATTAGGAGCCTGCACAGGGCCAGGGAGAAGAAGGTACGGGGTAGGAGAGAGCCAGCGTCAGCTTCCACGGGACTGAGGGGCAGGGCTGTGCCTACTTCTGCCCAGATACCAGAACGGCAAGCTCCTGGATGGACATATCCTTGTTGACATATCGGTCGTACTGAGCAGGGGTCAGCCTCCCGTTCTGTAGGGCCTCTTCAATGGAGAACTTCTTGCCAGACTTCCTGTCGTGGATCACGGAGGACTCCCCGTTGGGACCCTTGACTGATATTTCCTCCCAGTCGCACTCCTGACTTCTGAGTTTCACAAACATGTTCCAGTCGATGAGGCCAGCCCGATGGGCTTCCTCTGGGGACAGCTCCCGGCCTGTGTCAGGGTCGATGACCACAATGGAGCGCCGCAGATGGTTTTCTCTCTGCTCCCTCTTGACGGCCACAGAGCCCAGGCGCTTCTGCAGCTCGTCGATCTCAAGATCTTTGTCTTTGGAGAGCCTTTTGAGGTCATCCAGCTCTCTCTCCAGGGACCATAGTCTGGAGTCGAGGTTTGTCCCAGAGTCCACTGTGGTCATGTTTCTCAGGTCCCGTGTTTCCGTCGCCGCCATTTCAATTTCCGTTTGGAGCCTCCGGGTCTCCAGCTCCAGGTTTTGCCGCTCCAGCTGTAGTTTGTGGTTTTCTTCCCTGAGAAAGTCCAGCTCCTTGGACGACTTGGAGTTGTGGAACTCCAGTTCTGACAGCTTGGCTTCCAGCCGGCCCACCTCGGCGTCCAGTTCCCTCTTGCTCCGGCTCTCCTCCTCCAGGCTGCTCTTGAGCTTCTGAATTTCCTGTTCAGTGTCACCTTTCTCCACCTGGATGCTTTCGGAGAAGACCACCTTTTCCTTGACTTCCATCTTCTCCAGGTTGATGAGCTTCTTCTTTAGGGTCTCCAGTTCACTCTCCAGGACCTGCCGCCGGTGCCTTTCCTCCTCCAGCTGGAGCTTGAGCAGGGAGTGCTCCCGGGCCTGCTGGGGGTCCTGCTGTAGCACCACTTTCTGCTTGTGGGTCACCTTCTCTTGGGCTTCCCCCTCCTCCTTTTCCAGGTCGGCCAGCCGTTGCTTCAGGCGCTGCACCTCCAGCTCGGCCTCCCTGCGCGCCTGCCGTTCACGCTCCAGCTCCTCCAGCTGCCGCTCCAGCTCGGCCCGCCTGCGCTGTAGCCGCCGCAGCTCCCCGCGCAGGTGGTCGATCTGCCGGAGCTCCACATCAATGCTCTGGGTGAAGGCGTCCACTTCAGCTCGCAAGCCCGGCTCCTCCTCGTACCTGACTACCTCCTGTTGGACCACCTTTTCCTTCACCTGGGAAAGCTCCTCCTCCTTCTGTTTGATTTTCTCCTCTTGGGAAGCCCTCTCCCTTTCCAAGTCCACTTGCTTTTTCTGTTCCTCTGATAGTCTGGCCCTCAAAGACTCTACTTCCTCTTTGGTTTGGGGGTCTTCCTGAAACTGAAGGATCTCCTGGACTACCTCCTTGGTCTGTACCTGGGGTTTAGTGTCTTTCAGAGCCTGGATCTCTTGCTTCAGCTGGTAGATCTCTAAATCACACCTTTCGATGAGTCTGGTCTTGTCCACGATCTCCTCCCGGAGCCTCTGGAGCTCTTTCTCCATCTCAGGGTCAGTCTTGTATTTAATGACTTCCTTCGTCACCTCTCTGACTTCCACCTGCGGGCCCCGCCTCCGCAGCGCCTCCAGCTCGCCCTGGTAGCTCTTCAGCTGTTCCTCGGCACCCCGGTACTTGCGCTCCTGCTCCACAAGCTCCAGGCGGAGGTTGGCCACTTCACTCTCTGCCTTGGGGTCTGGCCGGACGATCTCCCGCACTTTCTCCTGCACCACCACCTTGGCATTTTCCTCTTCCAAGGCCCAAATCTTTCGGAGCAGCTCGCTCTTCTCCCTCTGGTGGGCACGAGCCTTGGCAGACTCGTCCTCATACTGGCGTTTCAGGTCGCCAACCTCCCTCTCAACTGCCATGTCCTTTTCCACCTTGAGCACCTCCTTGACGGTGACCTTCCCCTCAGCCATGGCCCTCTCCTTCTCCAGTCTCTTTAGCTTGTCCTGCAGAAAGCTCAGCTCCTCCTCCTGCTTCTCCCTGTGCTTGCCCTCCTGCTGCTGGTCCTCCTGCAGCTGCCGGTACTCTGCCTCCAGCTGGGGGTCATTCTGCAGTTTGACCACCTCCTTCTCAGTGACCTTCTCCCTCGCCCGGCTCTTCTCCTCAGCCAGGGCCGCGATGCGCTGCTGCAGGAGGACCGCCTCTGCTTCCCGGGTGCCCTTCTGCCGCCTTAGCTCCTCCAGCTCCTCCCTCAGCCTCAGGACCTCATCGGCCTGGGCTCTGTCTGGCTCGATGCGCAGGACCTCCTTGACTACGTACTCCTGCCCGCCGTTCCTGGTCTCCTGCTCCAGGGCGCGTAGCCGCAGCTGCAGCGCCTCCAACTCCTCCTGAAGCAGCTGGTTCTTGTGCTGCTCCTCCGTCAGCGTCCGCTGCATCTGCTGGAAGCTCTCCTCAAGTGCAGGGTCCGGTACCTTCTTCAGCACCTCCTTCCTCACCACTGCTTCCTGGGGGTTCTGATTCTGCAGAATCTGGATTTCCTCCTGGGCACTCTTGACTTCCTTCTCTAGCTGCTGCCTCCGCTCAGTCTCCTCGTCCAGCTCCTTCCGAATCTTCCACGACTCCTCTGCTCTGGAGCCCGGCTGGCTCCCTTGCTGACTCTCGTGGGTCACTCCTACCTCTGGCTGCTGGGAGGGAGAAGACAGTGCATGGTCATGTAAACAGGTCAGACTGGGGGTTCTGTCATCTCCAAGGAACTCCAAGTGCTGGGTTCACAGGAGTTCTAGGGTTACTTTTAAACAGTTGGTTTAGGTTTTCTTAAAATTCATCTGGTAAAATATTTTAAAACCATAGAAGAGTGTGAAAGGAAATCAGTCTTCCACCTCTAGTCCTGTCCTATTGCTAGAAGGGTATCTGTCATCTTATGACAAGTACAGGCAGTCCTCCGGTTACGTTGGACTAGACATACGTCGTTTCGTGGTTACGTCGCCATCTCCCATTTATTTATATAAAAAAAAAGTTCCATCATTTCAACATACGTACATATGTGCTTTATGGTTTTTTTTTTAATTTTTTTATATATATTTTATTAATTTTTTAATTAATAAGAGAGGAAGGGAGAGGGAGGGATAGAGAGCTAGAAACATCGATGAGAGAGAAACATCGATCAGCTGCCTCCTGCACACTCCCCACTGGGGATGTGCCTGCAACCAAGGTATATGCCCTTGACCGGAATCGAACCTGGGACCCTTGAATCTGCAGGCTGACACTCTATCCACTGAGCCAAACTGGTTAGGGCTGTGTTTTTTATTATTTATTTACCACAAGTAAAGGTCAGGAATTGTTATCTTTTAAATTTTTTTTTACTGTTTCACTTCATTACTGCTGTGTATGTGCTCCATGTGAGTGACGTAGGTGCTTATGGAGGTGGGTTCCGACTTACGGCGAAAAAATCGCGTTACTTCGCGCCTTAGGAATGGATCTCCAACATAACCCGAGGACCTACTGTATATTTTTAGTGTGTGCCAGATGTTTATTTTTCTGCACAAATGGTAAGTCCCCTGATCTGCACCCTTTTTGCACTTAATCTAGATAGAGGAAATTTCACAGCAGCACAGAGAGCTCTACTTCACTATTTAACAGCTACATGTGGATAGACCATAATTTACCCATTGCTGATGAGTATTGAGTTGCTTCCAGTTTCTTGTTATTACAGTGCTATCATAAACATTCTGGACTTTTAACATGTTACCTATACTAGGTACTCAGCAAACGTCTGCTGGAGGGAATATATAAGTTACACACATGTCAACAGAGGCGCTGGCTTGGGCCAGTATTTGCACTGGTGCTGCCCAGCCATGTTTGCAAGGGACACTCCCCCTAGTTTACAGGCTGTTTCTTTGAGGCTGAACGAGTCTTGTTTCTCACCTGCTGGAACAGTTTTGAGTAGAATGTGTTACACTAAGATTCATTACCTGTCTCAGTAGATTTAGAGCAAACTCCAGGTTCTGCAGCCTCTGTCTGTTGATGGCGTTAACTTCGGTGAACTTGGCAGTAAGGGTCGCTTCCTATAGGGGAGCATTCAGCAAATAGGAGTCAATAGACTGAGGGGGAAAGAGCTAGGACGGGTTTTGAAAAGTCTGGCATTTGGGGATAGAGGGTAGCTTCTTGCCCCTTCCTACTTGGGAGTTCTACTACAGTCATCTGGTGGAGAGAAAACTGGGTTTAGAGTCAGAAGTCTAATTCCCAGTGGCCTTGAGCAGATCTCTGTTGGAGCGTTAATATTCTTGTGTATAGAGGAAATAATAACATCAGCCTCCTGTATATGTATTGGGCGGGGGGAGCAGAGTGGGAACCTCTCTAATCCATGGCTCTGACACAGATACCTCCAGCAGGCTGTCTTTCTAGGTATATCAATGTCACTGTCCCAGAAAAAGTTCATTATCTTCTCTTACAAAACCTGTTTGCACCCAGGAAAGCTCTCAGCCCAGTTTCCATGTGAGGCCTGCATTCCATGCTCCCTGGAAGGCTGCGCAACTCAGTATGCCTACCCCAGAGCTCACCTCTTCCCTCACTTTGGCAGCAGGGGACTGGAGCCTGGCTCTCTTGCTCACATGGCTGCTCCTTCCATTCTCCAAGTCAAGAAGGGACCTTAGTTTCTCTGCTTCTAATTCATAGTCCTAGGGGAGAGACATGGCAGAGGGCAAACAAGGTCAGTTGCGGCTGCAATATTCTTACAGCCCTGCCAGCTGACTGCAGAGGTCTTCCGCTCAGCTGCACTCTGTACCGTCTGCCAGGAGTTTTTGAGAACCTTCAATACATCAACAATACATAGCTATGTCCCTCAACAACATGTGAAACAAGAAAAAGTATGCCCACAATTCCCCTCCCAAAGGGCTCCCTTCAGGCCTTCCCTTCACGCTAGAGATGATGCTGTGCTTCTCCATTTGTCTCATGTTGCCCCCTCCTATCCTCTGGTTTATCAGTTGGATGACTTCATAGTCCATCAAGTGGATGGATGATAATTTACCTAGCCATTCCTCTGCTATTGGACATTTAGGTTATTTCTAGTTTGTCTATTTTGCTAGTATATATAATGCTGTTACAGTGATTTTATTTATCCTATATTGGTGTTATTCTGTATTTTTCCAGTTAGGATAAATTCCCCCCAGTTTACTGCTTCATATAGTAGAAAACCCTTCTCTGGTATTTGATGCCTAATATCATATTATTTTCCCAAAGGGTGTGCCAGTTTGCATGGCTGCCAGTGGGGCCTGAGGATGACCCTGCCAGGCCCAGTGCTCCTCTTCCCAGAGGCCCTGATGTTTTACACTCTGGGCGGGACTTCGCTTCTCACCTTGACAGCTTGCTGGTACTGCTGGGAATGAGCGCAGACTTTCTGAACTTCCTGTTCCCTTCTTGCTATTTCATCCAGCAGGTTCTGTAAAACAACAGAGACTTTCAAAACAAAACAAAAAAAGAACAACTTTGATAAATTAGCTAGATTCCTTAAATCTGAAATTCTTCTGTTGTACAGAATATAATGAATGGCTTCCTTGTATGCATGTGTTGGTTATAAAGGCAATTCTAAGGCCCGGTGAAGAAGGGCCAAGATTATCTTTGCCAGGAAAAGAATGTTTACTGTGTGCTTCAAAATGTCAGGCACTGTTCTAATATGTAACTTAGATGACCTCGTTTAATCTTCCAACAATCCTGTGAGGTAAGTACCATCCTTACCCAGCTCATAAGTGAGGAAACCGAGGCACAGTGAGGTTCAGTGGCTTGCCTGAGGGGCACAGCTAACAGTGAACTGGCATTTGGGTTCCCATGTTCCTTCTCCCTCACCCTATTGTCATTGCTGCCTTCTGAGGACCTAGGACTCTGAACTTTGAAAATGGGATTTTTCCCCATGCGGGGGCCTCTTGTATTTTCGTAGCCATTCACTCACTCAGCCGGCCTGCACTCAGTGTCCACTCTGAGCCAGGACCCATGCTGGGAACTGAGGAGGGGGAAGTGAGCAAGACTGTCCTTGTTCTCAGAGTTAAGTGCTGGGAGCCAGGCAGGGCCAAGGTCCCGTGAGATCACAGCTCTGCCAGGGCAAACAGCAGCCACTCCTGGCTCTCCACAAAGGGGAATGACTGACCTCTGACCCCACCTTGTGACTATGCCTGTGAATGCAGAAGCAGTTGTCTTACTTTCTGATTCTTCAGCTTGGTCTCCATCTGGTTGAGGCTGTCTGTCTCCTGGGGCTCATAGCTTGGGATGTTGGACAAGAACTGGAGCATGTGGTCGCAGCAACTGCGGTAGTCATCATAGGCAGCCTTGGCACTCCGCAGGCTCTGGGCCCTGCAGGAGCAAAGCTGGTCAGGCCTCTGGCACAGCGAGACGATGTCTCACTAAAACCTTACCCTGTCCCTTCCCAGCCGCTGTAGCTCAGTGGTTGAGCTTATGTGGCCCATGCACCAAGAGGTTATGGTTCGATTCCTGGTCAGGGCACAGCCGGGGTTGTGGGCTCGACCCCTGGTGAGGGGTGTACAGGAGGCAGCTGATCAATGTTTCTCTCTCATTGATGTTTCTACCTCACTTTCCCTTCCTCTTTAAAAAAAAAAAAAGCTTCTCCTGTCCCTTTTAAAGGAGTAATCTGTATTCTTTGTGTGTGTTTTCATTTTTTAAAATGTGTGTTTAGAGGGGTGGGGGACGAATGTAATTGAACTGGAATACAAATGTAATTTAATGTTCATTAGAAAGGGAATAGTTAAGCAAATTATGGAATGTTAAGTTGGAGTCCTCCCTGGCCTCTGTGAAGAACAGGTAGGTAGGTCCACATGTACTGACATGCAGAGATACTGTGTGCTAAAGGACCTCAATAAAAACATACCAAAATGTGTGGGACACAGCAAAAACTGCTGAGAGGGAAAAGTATGGGATTAAATGTTTGTATTAGAAAAGAATGCTCTCAAATCAACAATCTAAGCTTCCACCTTAAGAAATAAAAAGAGCAAATTAAATTAAGCAGCAATAAGGAAATAATAAAAAGCAGATATCAATGCAACTGGAAACAGGAAAAATCATTGAAACCATAGCTAGTTCTTTAAAATGGTCAATAAATTGATAAAAGAGAATGTGCATATACAATGAAAGAAGATTTAACATCAGGAGTGAGAGGGGATATAGCCTCAGAACCTGCAGGCAGTGATAAGAGAATATCATGAACAATTTTATGCCAATAAGTTCAACTTGATGAAATGGATAAATTTCTTGAAAGACACAAACTACTCAAGAGTGAGATGAGCCCTGGCCAGTGTGGCTCAGTTGGTTGAACATCGTCCTGTGTACTGAAAGGTCACCGGTTTGCTTCCCAGTCAGGGCACATACCCAGGTTTCAGGTTCAATTCCCATTCAAGGTGCCTGCAGGAGGCAGCTGATTGATGTTTCTCTTTCTCTCTCTCCCTCTCCTTACCAAATATTAAAGAGGTTGAATTTGTAGTTAAAATCCTTCTCATAAAAAATGCAGGCCCAGACAGCCTCACTGGAGAATTCTACCAAGCATTTAAGGAAGTAATATCAGTTCTATACAAACTCTTCCAGAAAACAGAAGAGGAGAAGGGAATACTTAACTAACTCATGAGGCTTATAAAATATATGACAGGAAAAACAGCAAGCTACAGTGTACATGATACGTTGTCATGTGTTTACCCCTTACCCCAGCTTGTACAGAACACCTTTTGGGAGGGTTCATAGGAAACTGGTAGCAGTGTTTACCTTGGGAAAGTGGGGCTGGTCATTAACCAGTTAACTGCCACGCATCCAAAACGGAAACCATCCTTACATCTATAGACGCTTATGGCATACAAAGGGTCATAATTACTGAGTGTTTTACTTTGTATATATATAACTTTTTCAGAAAGCAGAAATTATTTAGAAAACAGCCTTTGGTGGTGTCGGTTGAGCATCTTGCCTCAAGGCAGACTAGCTCAGGGCCCCTCACCTGAACTCAGCCTGCTGGCGGAGGTTGTCGAAGCGCTGGCCCAGCTTGTGCACCTCGGCCTCCTGGCGCTCCAGGTCAGGGCAGTGTTCCTGGAAGCGGCTGGCCAGGGAGCTGGAGCACTGCTTGGCGGCCTGCAGGTTCTGCTCCACCTCACTGAGGAGGGACTTCTGGGCCTGCAGCTCAGAGGCCATGGCCTGTGGGGTGGAGAGGCAGCCAGTGGGCGGGCGCTGTGGTCAGAGCTCGCAGGGGCCAAGGCAGCACTGCCCCAGTGCTTGGGGACACCTGCTGTGTGTGTGTGTGTGTGTGTTGGGGGGGGGGGGGTTAATGCCTGGGTGTGGGAAGGGACTGGGCCTTGCCTCTGAGTTTCTCCTCACATCTGGTGGCCATTTCTACAAAGTTCCATTTTGTTAAAATGAACAAAACCTGGAAAAACTAAAAACCCCATGGTTGGCAGCATGTGCCCTGTGATGCTGCGCCCAGGACTAGAATGGCCTGCTGCTCTCCAGCCTCCAGGCCCATTTCCTCAGCTCTGAGGTGAGGGTCATAGCACACAGCCAGGGTTTTGTGAATTGATGTGTGAATAATGGCCTCCCTTGGGCTCACAGACTTGGATGTCCATAGCGGTCAGGCAGGTAAATGCTGGAGGTTTGCTGGCAGCTGCTGCATAGATACTGGAAATCTTGGGGGGAGGGGAGCATGCACATCTCTGATTTAAAAATACAAGTGCCCCGTTTCCACAAGCCATGAGCAGCTGGGATTTGTGCCATGTGCCTCCATTTACAACTTCCAGTTGGCATTGTGGGCATACAAACCTGCAGAGACTTCCTGCCCTGGGCATCAGGGTCTTGGGCCTTTCTTCTGTCCAGAGCTGATGGGTGCCAGCGCCTGGACAGAAAGGGTCCCACGGCCCAGGGCCCCCACACTCACCGCCAGCTCCTGCCTCTTGCTGTCCAGGGCGCGGCCACTCTCGGGCACTGTGTCGTCCTGGGTCAGCTGGTTCTCATATGTGGCCAGCACCTCCCAGGCCTGCTGCAGGCTCTTCTCCAGGCGGTTGGCAATGGCAACCCTGAGGACACAGGTCAAGAGTGAGGGGGTGCCTGCCTGGCCCCCCGACCCCAGCTGACCTCCCTGCTGCCCGCCTGACACCCACTTCTCCTGGGCCAAGTCCAGCAGCTGCACCAGGCGCTCGTATCTGCGGTTGGTGTCCTCCACCCGGGTCCTCAGCAAGGGTGTGCTGCCACTGCCCGGAAGGGCCTGCACGAAGGCCTCGCACTCGGCTGTGCTGTGAGCCTTCTCAGGCTCGATCTGCAGCAGCTCGTTGGTGATGTTCTGTGGAGACCAAAGGCCTCCTGTTGGCCACAGCTGGGCATCCTCCTCCCCCAGTGGCCTGCCAACCTCAGGGAGCAGGGGAAGCTGTTGTGGGGGGGGGGGGGGGGGCTCTGATGGAGATGCAAAGCCTGGGTCCTGCCTGGGAGCCTGAGTCTGCATGTGTACTGAGCACCCCGGGCATTCTGCACCAAGCAGGGGACTCACAAGGGAATGAAATGAACAGGCAGTTACCCAGCACTCACTGTTCCAAGCACCATATTTAGTGATTTCATTCATTGTTGGGGGCAACCCCATGAGGGAGGCACGTTTTCTCTCCCTGTTCACAGCTGGGTACCCAAGCAGCTTAGGAAGGGACATGGTGGGGCCTGGCCTCTGCTCCCACCCTCTACTGGGCATCCTCTCGGCCTTGACAGCCTCTGTCAGCCGTGATGTGAGGCCCCTTCTCCAAGCCCAGTTCCTCTGGAAACCAAGCACGGTCACCCCTGCCACAGAAGGCGCCAGATGACTAGGGAGACCGTCTGTGAGAGAGGAGCATGGATGCTGTTCCCACCTGGCACCGAGCTGCTCAGGCATCAAACACGCAGAGACGGACCTCCCCAGGCCTCTCCTGGACGTGTTTGAAGCAGGGCACCAGGCTCAGGCACCTCCTGATCCCCGGCCTAGCACCACCCCCACCCCCCATGACTCAGGAATTCTTGTGACACATGGCAGGTGGAGATGGGAGCTTGAGCAGGGGCCCCAGCCTGGTGGTACCTTGAGGTCTTTGGCCCGCTGGGCACTGTCCTGCACAGCCCGGCCTTGTTCCAGCGGTGGCCGAAGGATCCCTGTGATGGCCTTCTCCTGCCGGTCTAAGTCACTGGCCACCTTGTCCAAGCCTGCCAGCAGCTGCCGTCCCTGCAGGTCAGAGGCGTCTGCCGGACGGAAATCGGAGTTGGGTGTCAGTTGGGGGCATGAGTCGCAGGGAAGGGGCCGAGAAGGCCAGTTGGGACGTCCAGGGCTGGCTCAGCCTCCCCTACCCCTGCCAGGCCTGACCCATGCTGTCCCTTCAGCAGCACAGACCGTGGGTCCATTGCCTCCTCCCTGTCCCCCCACAGGCTGGGCAGTGGCCCTGGCACCCACCTCCAGGGTTCTCTGCCTTGAGCACCTCATGCCGCTGCTGGAGTGCATTCCTGGTCCCGAATGCCTTCTGCCGCACACTCCGGTACTGGCTGCCCAGGCTGTGAGAGCAAAAATGGACTGGATCCAGGGCAGCCTACTGCCCCTCCACCCTCAGGCACAAGACCCTGGACTTCGGCTGGGCCAACAGCCCAGAGGAGTCAGGCACCATCAAAATGCTTTGAAAAGTTAAATCACAACACATACAAAGGTTTGCTGAAACGCTGGCCTGTCTTGTGGGTTCAGATGGACCCCCTCCTTCCTTCACCCCTTTCTCTCTTCTTCGTAGCAAGTCTTACTTCCTAAAATCATCTTGTTTGTTCCTTTGCCTTCCCTAAGATGTTACCCCTGAGGGAGCAGCACACAGGTGCTCAGTAAATACTTGCTGAATGAGTAAATGAAGCATTCCCAGAGTCACTCACTCAACAAAGTTCTTGGGTCTTCACTTTGCCCCAGGTCCTGAACAAGGCCCTGGAGACAGTAGACTTCAAGGAGCCCCTGCCAGGAGACTGACACTTACACAAAGCACCCTGATCAGGAGCAGGGTGTGCTCGGGAGGGAGGAGGTAGAGCAAGGTGTTAGGCAAGGGGCAGTCAGGGAAGGCTTCACAGAAGAGGTGACCCTGGCGCCGAGTCAAGCCGAGAGGCTTGAGCTGACCAGGCAATGAGTAGGTGTCCAGGTAAAGGGAACAGTATGTGCAAAGGCCCAGAGACACTTCCAGAGAAAGTGCTCACTGAACTGTGCCCACAGCTGGACATTCACACACAGCAAGTCAGTCGGGCCAACAGGATCTGCCCCTGTCCCACTGAGCCTCCAAGTGGGTACAGGTGTGGGGGTGTTACCAGGGCAATGAAGGGACCCAAGGGGTGGGGCCAGTCCATGCTGGCTACCTCCTTAGCCTGTACCTGTCGGCCAGAGCCAGGGCCTCGGGGTCGGTGGGGGGGATCATGAAGCAGACGGCTGGGGCGGTCAGCGTGTTTCCCGCGCTGTCGGTGAGGTCCCAGCTCTCTCCGTTGTTCCTCTGCAGGGTGTAGCTGTAGCCCCTTGAGATCAGGCCCTGGCATGGGCAGGCCAAACAGTGAGAAGGCACAGAGAGACCTGCCTTGGCTGGTAGCCTGGGAGCCCAGAGGCCACCTTGGTCCTGCCCACCAACTCTGGCACGTGGGGAGTCAGCCCATCTCTCAGATCCTTCCCAAGACATCGTGCCCTAGTTGGGAAGGACTAGAACTCCCCCCATTCCCAGTCCATGTGGCCTCTCCTTCTCCATTCCCAGCCCTTTACTACTCAGGGTGGACATGTGACTCGGGCCCACCAATGAGAGAATGGCATTATCCCCTGACGCACACCCCAGTGACTGGTTGAGGCTCACATGAGTCAAATTGGGCCAGTGAGAACCCTCCCTGGCACTCCTGCTGGAATACTGGGGTTGCTAAGCTGATAGCACACAAGACCAAGGCAGCTAGCTATTGGGGGGGGGGGGGGACCTGGCAGAGAATGACCCCAATGACAGGGGTCCTGAAAACGTTTGAGGCCCTCATTTAGCGATGTCACCCCTAAGACCTTCCAGTGACATGAAAAGAGGCATATTTGGGCCTGGCCTGCCTGGGACACCTGGGCAACAGCTCACCTGGTCACCCTCAAAGTCACAGAGCGCCTCCACGGGGATGGGCTTGAGCGGCGTCTCCCGGCGGTACTTGAGGGGCACCACCTGCTGCCCTCGCTTCTGCAGGCCCTGCACCACGTGCTCATACTTGTCCAGAGCCTTCTCCTGGTCCTGAGCATGGGGAATGCCACAATGAGATCGTGCAGCCTCCCCGGGGGGCGGGGGCCAGGCAGCAGGGGAGAGCTGTGGGGGGCCGGCTTGGGGCTGAGGGCAGGGAGGGGTCACCCGGAGTCACTCATGGGACCATCACTCACATCCAGCTCCCGCAGCAGCAACTCAATCTGGTATCGGTCCTTGAAGTCAGGGCTGTATTTTTGGTTCAGGTCTGAATCCACCTTTCGTAGCAGCTCCTGAGCGTCCTTCACGTCTTTGTGGAACTAGGAGACCAGGTGGCCCAATTATGACTATGAAGCAACTAGGACACCTGGCTAATCCTGGCTATGGCTGCAAGTCCAATCCCAGTCGGGCTGGGCCTCCCACTCACCCGGAGTCCACAGGCTCTGCTGCTCGTGGACACCCAGCCAGCCCAGGCCTGGCTCCCGAGAGGGCCTCATGGGAAGAAGCCAGGTCCCTTCCCACCAGTCCACGTGACCACCTCTGCGACCCGTTAACTTTCAAGTGCACACCGACGACCTTCGGCGCTCTTAAATGTCATTCCTCTTTGTGCCAGGGACACCCTGATAATGCTATGCTTTCATTGTTGATACATGGAAGACAAGCCGCCCCACTTTGTTCTAGAAAATTCTTTTGCCCATTCTTTAGTTCATCAACTCTGGAATCACTCATTGTCAGCTGTCCCCTGGGCTGCAGCCACGAAAGGCACTTTGGGATCCTGTGAATCTCACAGCCCAGCAGGGCTCAGACACCGAAACAGGAGTTACAGAAGTGTCATCTGAGTTCAAGCGTCCCCAGACCGCACAATCATTAGTCACCTGCCGCTCTTCCTAAAAAACACGTTCCTATGAAACAACCGGTCTCCATCAACAGATGAATGGGTAAACACAATGTGGTCTGTCCACGCAAGGGAATACTACATGGCCGTAAAGGGGAATGGCATTCTGATTCATGCCACAACATGGATGACCCTTGGAAACATACTCAGTGAGAGAAGCCACAAAGGCCATGTAGCATGAGATTCCACTTATATGCAATATCTAGAATAGGCAGCCCGAAGAACAACAGATCAGAGGTTACCCGCGGCTGGGGGAGGGAGGAATGGGGAGTGACTGTTGGCGGGCTCAGAGCTCCCATTCGGGGTGACGAAAAGTTTGGAAAGACTGGTGATGGTTGTACCACATTGGATTGTATGCTTAAACATGGCTAAAATAGCAAATTTCATATTATATATATTTTACCAAAATGAAAACCCACACATTCATTCCTGGCCTCACACTGACCTGGTGAATTCACCCCCCGGCCTTGGCCCCCAGGGAAGAGACTGGCCAGGGCCGGGCAAGCTGGAGGCACACCCGTGTCCAGCAGTGGCAGCAGGAGGCCCAGGAAGGCAGCCCTGCAAGGCTCCCGAGGAAGCAGCATGGAGGCCAAAAGTGGGCCACGTAGGCCCTGAGTGCTCCCACCAGTGGGCCTAGGCCGGGGTACCTGGTGGTAGTCTTCCATGTACTTCAGGTGGCTCTCCTCACAGATGAGCAGGTTCAGATACTCCTTCCAATCTGCATGCACAGCCTCCATGTGAGCCTGCCAGAGAAGGGGGGGTGTCACTGCTGGGCGGGTGCCTGGGGCACTGGAAGAGGCCTGTGGGATTCCAGACCAGAGAGGGCGGGGGAGAGGGCATCCGGCATCTGCATGGGTGTGGCTCCCACAGGGGCAGCCAGCTGCTCCCCAGGGGTGAGAAGAGGAGAGAGAGGGGACATGTCACGGAGCCTAGCCGGGCTGCCCTGCACAGGTGCCTGGGCTGCAGAGTGCATAAGGCACAGGAGGGGTTGCGTCTGCCCAAAGTGGTGCCTTTAAAAAATGCCATGAAACTGAATGGTATCTCCGCACCCCAAACTTAGAACGTGACTTCATTTGGGATCGGGGTCTTTGCAGATGTAATTGGTTAAAGTATCTCAGGATGAAATCACCTGGATTTAGGATGGGCCCTAAATTAATGACTGGTGTTGCTGTAAGAAGAGGAAATACAAGGGAGAGGCCCTGTGCACAGTAGTGTAGATGGAAGTGATGCAGGCCCAAGCCAGGGAAGGATTGCCGCAGCCGGAAGCAGGGAGGGGGGCAAGGAAGAACCCTCCCCCAGAGGGAACAAGCCTGCCAACACCTTGATGTTACCCTTCTGTCCCAGAATTATGAGAGAATACATCCTGTTGTTTAAAGCCACCCAGTTTGTGGTCATTGTTAGGGCAGCCCCAGGACACTGACACAGGTGCCATATGGGCTTCAGAAGTCGGGGGGGGGGGGGGGGAGGCGTGAGAGCAGGACGTGACAATAATGAGCGGAGGCAGGGTCAGAGCAAGATGAGAGGGCAGAATAATGAGACAGGCAGACAGATGGACACCTCCCCCCCATCTTGGGGGCTGCCCCAGTCCAGGAAGCCCACAGCAGAGGCTGCCCTGAGGCCACCCCGGAGGAGGCATCCCCTCTCAGTGCGCACATACCTCAATGGAGTTCCTCCCAGGGTGCTCAGCAGCTAGCAGTTGGTCTCCCTCACTGTGCAGCTTATTGATTCTCTCCTCTTTGGCCTCCAGGTTCCGGTTGATGAAATTCTGCATTGGGGGGAAGAGGGGCTCAGTGCGCAGCCTGGCAGCCTCGTGGTCCCTTCTGGCCCCTGCCCCCCACCCCCAGGCCCCAGCACCCACCTCATACTGACGCCTGCGGCTGGGGTAGTCGAGGTTGCGTTCACTCCAGTCGTACTGCATGCGGCCCTTGGCCTGCTGGTCCAGCCAGTACAGCTCGTTGGTGCAGCGCTGCATGTAGTCCTGCAGCGAGCTCAGGTGCTGCTGCCGCGCCTGCGACGCCGCCTGCAGGGTGGGGACAGGGCTGAGACTTACCTCCACACCTGCAGTGGACCCTCTGAAGCGCATTCATTCTTTCGGCAAAGATTTACTGAGCACCTGCTAAGTGCTGGGCATTGCTCCAGGCCCTGGGATACAGCAGTGAGCAAAGCAGACAGAACCCTCATGGCACTGACATTGTGTGGAGCCCCAGGGACTCATCTGCACAATGAGGATGACAGCACTGAGAGAGGGGACATGTCACAGAGCCAAGCAGGGCCCAAAGTCCGGCATAGAGTTGGTGCTCAATAAAAATTAGCAGCTACAGCTTCCGCTTTATCTCTGTCAGGTCACTGTTTAGACGGCTAGAACCGTAGAAATTGCTAAGGCTTAACATCTGAGAAAGGGCCGGGCAGGCGGGGAGGATGGGCAAGGAGAGGCGGCTACATTTTGCTCTGCAAATAAGAACAGCAGCTAACACATATATGGGGCCACCAGGAGCCCAAACTGTGCTAAGATCTTCTCCAACATTAACTAATGCCATCTGCAAAGCAATCCAATGAGACAGGGACTCGCAGTAACTCCCCTTTACAGATGAGGAAACTGAGGCTCCCAGGCTAAGGAGTGCATTCAAGGTCTCCCCTCCCACCGAGGGTGGAGGCAGTCTGGCCCCAGAGCCTGCTAACAGCTGTGCTCTACCTCCGCGCATTCCCGCAGCCGGGGCGTTCGAAACGTCCGCAACGAGAAAGCATTCATTTACCACTGTGCATTTCTAAAAGAACTCATTCCTTAGAGGTTTTGAAAATAGGAAACTTTTGCTTGTAAAGTATGTGGCATCCAACTGGGCACACAGAAGGTGCTTAAAAAGAAACAAGAATTAAACGGTAGGACAGGCTGTACCCCAATAAGTAAATGGGATCTACTGGGGTTTTCCATGAGCTCAGGGCAAGCTGGGGCGCCTCTCAGGCAGGGGCCCTGGGTACCATCTTTTCCCGCTTCCCCTCCCTCCCTCCTTTCTGTTTGAACTGCACACCCTTCCTGCCCCAGCGCCCCACGCCCGCCCTCCGTTCTCACCAGCAGTTTCTGGTACTTGGCCTGGAGTTCGCTGTTCTGCTCCTGAGGACAGAGCCGAGGACAGGGGTTAGGGCGGGGTGCAGGTGTGAGCCCTCCTTTCCCGGGTCCCGCCGACCCCGGGCGCCCACCTTGCCCCCGTCCTTGGCCAGGTGGGGCCCGATGGCCTTGACCTCGTTGTGGAAGATGTTGTGCTGCTCCACCTGGTAGTCCACCAGCGGCAGGTCTGTTCCGAAGTTCTGGCTGCTCAGCTTGTCCTGGGAGGGGAGGATGGAGACAATGCACACAGGGGTGGGGCCGGGGACTCCTCCTCACAGGACCAGGCAGGGAGAGAGCCAAGTGGCCCCATGAGGGACGCAGGGAGAGGCTGTCACCTTTATCTGTACGTCATCTCATTGAATCTCGCACGGTTACCCTGCCCGTTTTCACAGACGGCTGAGCCAGCGTCATACCACTAAACGAGGGTTCTGGGCTCCCGTGGGCGCGCCCCTCCACCGTGGAGATGCGCTAGCCAGGGCATGGGAAGAGCAGTGGCTGGCCAGACATCTGCCACCCTGCCAGGACCCCACCGAGCCAGGATTGGAGGGTGATCCCAGGAGGATCTTAATCTTCATCACCTCTGCTGTGTGACTCTGGGTCAGGCACTGCACCTCTCTGAGCCTCGCTCTCCTCATTGACACAAACATCAGAAAACATCACCAACACGACTACCTCCGCATGACTGTGGTGACATTAAATGGTGGGGTTCTCCCCCGACACACGGCCCCTCCCCAGCTGCAGCCAGGGCCGTACCAGCTTCTCTTCCACCAGCGCCGCCCAGTTGACCTGTGGGTCCACCTCCTTCACCACCAGGCTGTAGATCTGCTTGTGTTTCCCACGGAGGTTGGTCACACGCTCCTTCAGCTGACGGATGCTGAGTGGGAGAGCGGCCGCCCTGGTTAGCGGGCTAGTGGGCAGGGCACTGCCTTAACCCCCCGCCCCCCAACTTCGTGCCCAGCGTCCTGGGAGGGCAGGGTACCAGGGCCTTGGGCTCCAGATAAACACTCGTGCTCTCCTCCTATCTACTTTCCTTCTTCCATTAATACTTCCCCAGGACCCACTGTGTGCCCTGGGCCATAGAAGGTTCTGGAAGAAACAGGCTGGAGCCCACCATCTAGCAAGGGCCACAGTGGGCATGGGTCATGACAGGGGCGAGCACAGGGGGTTGCGAGGCACTGGGAGACCCTGGCCCCTGCTGTCGTAGGTGCCGATTTAGCCACATGGAGCTAAGGCAAGAGCCATGAGCATGGGGCCGGGTGGGCGTCCGGGTGGGACAGCGTGCTCAAAAGCCGGGAGGTCGGACTGCATGGTCAGGAAGCTGGGGTCACACTATGAGCAGAGCAGGGAACACCAGTGCTCCGAGCCGTCTCCCCGACAGCAAGTGGGTTGCCATGAGAATAACAGGGTGAGTGGCATGTGCCTGGCATCTAGCTAGCCCTCGAGAGGCCCTGACGCGGCTCCTGAGTGCGGGTGGGCTGCGGCCCTCCTGCCCGGCCAGGCGGCTCCCTCAGAGCCGAAGCGGAGGGACCTACTCCTCGGCGATCATGTCGCCCTGGGGGTGCTTCATGTGCTTGGCGATGGCCGCATCCGCCTCCAGCATGTACAGCAGCTTCTCCGAGTCCGACACCTTCTGCAGGGCCCCGTCCCGGTGCTCAGGCTGCCGGCCCTCCTGCAGCCGGGCCAGGTCCTGTGAGAGGCACAAGAGAGGGGGACATTAGACAGGGACGTCGTGAGTCTGCAGGGACGGGAGGGCTCCCCAGCCAGGCCTGTCCTCTCCTCCAGCCCCTCAGCAAACAGAGCCCAAATGCCGGCTTGTGTGGGGCTCTGGGAGGCAGCCCAGCCCAGCCCAGCCCACCAGGAAGGCATGTCAACAGGTAAACCTCACCAAGGTGGCGGCAAGCTCATGCAGGTCATGCTCATGCAGTGCTCATGCAGTGTTAACCCAGGAAGCGCACAGAGGTGGAGTGAGGGGGACCTGCGTGAGCTCCGGTGGTCAGTGGGGCCCCTCTGAGGGGGGGACACAGGTAAGAATAAAGGCCGGAAGGGAAGAGGGGTCAAGGCAGAGGGAACTGCCTGTGCAAAGGCCCTGAGGCAGGAAAAGGCAAGCTGTGAATGAAGCCACCATGGCTGAAGCTGAGAGGAGGGCAGGGCAGGCCAGGCCAGAGCACAAGGGACCTGTGGGCGGTGGGGCGGGGGCCAGAGCACGGAGTGGCTCTGTGGAGGGAAGTGACATGGCCCCACGTATCTTTAAAAGCCATGCCTCCTGGCTCTGCAGGGAGGAGGTACAGGCTGAGAGGGCAGGCAGCCACTGCGACAGACCAGGTGAGCGCTGAGGTGGCCTGAGCTGGGATGTGGCGAGAATGAGCACAGTGGGTGGACATCTCGGGGGAACCAGCAATAAGTCACTGAGTCCGGGGTCTTGCTTGTTTAGGGAAGAACAATGAACAGACGGTCAGGGTGGCAGGTTTCTAAGCCCTTAAGACTTGTGAAGACTGGCCGGGCACTGTGCCAGGCCCTGGGGACACCAGGCCTACAGGGGACGTGGTGATAAGTCAGTGACTGGGCTGAGGACAGACCAGGTGTCACAGGGGGTCCTGGAGGGGCCAGTGCCCTCCCCGGCCTGGGTCTTGGTGTCTCCCTCTGCCATGGGAATAAGAAACAGCTGTTTCAGAAGGGGCACGGAGGTGCCCACCGCAGTGGACAGAGGGAGCCACTATCGCACGTGGAAGGGCCTCAGAAACGAAGGGAGTGAGAACAGCCAGACACAAAAGGCCACGTCACGTAGGAGTCCGTGTACGTGAAACCCGTGGCGACAGAAACACGGTGAGCGGCTGCAGGGCTGCATGAAAATGGGAATCAGTGGTAAACAAACGGGCACAGGAGACCTTACTGGGGGACGAGAACGGTCAGGGACCAATTGATGGGAACGGCTGTGCCCCTCAGTGAAGTTACTCACAGTCGTTGCATCATACACCGAGTGGGAGCTTTTCTGGTGTCTAAAATAAGCCTCGATAAAGCTATCAAGAAAGGCCAAGAAAGGAAGGAAGAAATGACTAAAGAAAAAAAGGAGTGAGTGGAAGTAGAGTCAAGACATCACTTCCTCTCCCGGCCACCCCCAGCGGGCCAGGGCAGGCGGGGCTTGGAGGTGTCAGAAGGCCAAGGGGCTGGCCTCTCTACCCGGGGTGAGTCTGGCCAGTGAAAAAACTACAACAGCCCTGACCTGTTTGGCTCAGTGGATAGAGCGTCAGCCTGCGGACCAAAGGGTCCCGGGTTCGATTCCAGTCAAGGGCATGTTAGCCCTAACCGGTTTGGCTCAGTGGATAGAGCGTCGGCCTGTGGACTCAAGGGCATGTGCCTTGGTTGCGGGCATATCCCCAGTGGGGGGTGTGCAGGAGGCAGCTGATCGATGTTCCTCTCTCATCGATGTTTCTAACTCTCTATCCCTCTCCCTTCCTCACTGTAAAAAATCAATAAAATATATTAAAAAAAAAAAAACTACAACAAAACATCATGGTTCTTGGCTTGGGTGGAATTTTATCTCCCTCATCATCAGCTGATCTGAAGCTCTCCTGGGCAGGTAGAGTGTCAAAGACTTATTCTGCAAAAGGAGGAAGTAAATTAGTCATTACCTAATTCATGCAAGCCTTTCCAAGCGTGCTAGCCAAGCCGGGAAAGCAACATCTAGCTCAATGCCCTGGAGGTGAGGTGTTCGAGTCCCAAGTCAGGCAGGCCCAACCACGGGGAGAGTCAGCACGGGGGGTCCCCCGGGGGAGATGGACTGGGAATGTCACGGGAGCTTCTGGGAAACGTTCTCTATCTGGACTTAGCGGCGGTGACGCGGGCGCCTGCTGATGGAAACACTCATGCGGCTGAACTCTTGACATTTGGATGCTTTCTACATTCCTATGTAAGTTACACCTCAATAAGAAGGGTTTTTAAAACTGAAAATATCACAGGAGCGACATATCTAATGCATCACACGTATGGTGACGGACAGTAGCCAGCAGGCGTCACTGGGGGGATCTGGGCGGCAGGGATCTGGCTGTACCCTATGCCATCTTCCAACTTTGCATGTTTAAAATTTTGGCAAACACAAAAGTTCACATATTGTATGAGTCTGTTTAGATGAAATACCCACAATGAGTACAGCAGATTAGTGATGGTGGGGCTGGGAGGAGGAGTGACTGCTAGTGCATATGGGGTTTCCCTTTGGGTGACAAAATGCCTTGGAACTAGATAGAGGTGGTGGCTGCACAACACTGCAAATGTACAAAACACCACTGAGTTATTCACTTTAAGGGATTATTTTATGTAATGCTAATCTTGCTTCAATTTAAAAAAATAGGGAACTTTGCCCTGGCCAGTGTTGCTCAGTTGGTTGGGTGCCATCCCACCCACTGAAAGGTCCCCCGTTCGATTCCCGGTCAGGGCGCCTGTCCAGACTGTGGGCTCGATCCTGTTAGGGGACGTGCAGGAGGCAGCCAATTGATGTTTCTCTCACATCAATGTTTCTCTCTCTCTCCCTCTCCCCCCTCTCTCTCTAAAAAGCAATTTTTAAAAAATCTTTTTTAAAATTAGGAAAATTCTACAGAACTTTGGGGTAATTAAATCAATAATGATGTTTTCTTCTGGAAAAAAAAAAAACAGGAAGAGAAAAGAAAGAAAAAGAAGATTAGTGTTCATGCAATCTTCAAAGTGTGGTCTCTTTTTTTGAGTTCGCTCATTCAAAGTTAAAGAACAGTTCAGCCTGGCCAGCGTATCTCGGTGGTTGAGCATTGACCTACGAACCAGGAGGTCACGGTTCGATTCTCAGTCAGGGCACATGCCTAGCTTGCGGGCTCGATTCCCGGTGTGGGGCGTGCAGGAGGCAGGCGATCGATGATTCTCTCTCATCATTGATGTTTCTATCTCTCTCTTCCCCCTACCTTCCTCTCTGAAATCAATAAAAATATATTATAAAAAAAGTTCAAAATGATCTCCAAATACATCCTTGTTAGTTTTGAGTCATTACTCTAAGCAAATAAACAGAGACCCTATTCACACACACAACACGCAAGGGAAGGTCAGATACATCAAAATGTTAATAGCTGAAAGATCTCTCTGGGGGTGGAATTACGCATGATTTTAACTTGCTTCCGTATACGTGTTTACCAGTCCTGAAATGGCCATGATGAACACATTACTTTTATTAGGAGAAAGAAAGGCCACACCCCAAAAGCTGTTTTCACTTAAGAAAGGACAGAGTGTGACAGAGTGAAGAGTCACAGGGGGAGCCGGGTAGGAGCGTGCGGCGGAAGGCAAGGGGGCTGGAGGGTGGGCACTGAGGCAAGGAGGTGGGAGGTGCCCTGGCAGGTGAGGGCAAGGAAGGAGTGCAGGGAAGGGTAGCTGGCAGGGAACTGAGTCCCCACTTGCCTTTCCTGTCCCCATTTCTCACTGACAGCTGTGCCACCCCCAGCCCACCTCGTCGCTCAGGTCTCTGGGCTGCCTGGGACTGGCCCTCGGCTGGCCCTGGGGATGCACTGGGACCAGCCAGACCTACTTCCCCGTGACCTGTCTCCCTGCAGTCCCCCACTCCTCTTAGTCACCCCCTGGGTGGGAAGGCAGATGAAATACAGATCATCCAGTTACGTTATAATTTCAGATAAACAATGGATACTTTCGTACTGTAAGTACTTCCCAAATAGCACAAGGGACATACTTATAATAGAAAACATTGTTATTTGTGTTCTGAAATGCAAATTTAACTGGTGTCCTGTAATCTATTTGCTACATCTGACTCCCCCACCTCTGGGATGATTCTGGGGCCAGCTCTGTCACTGACTAATTACCCTGGCCTTCTCTGAACCTCAGTTTCTCCAGCTACAAAATGGGTATAAACTCAACTGCACTGGGCCAGTGGAGTTTTCATCTTAGCAGTTCATAGTCCAAGGGCAGCTCCAGTGTCCTGCGTGGTACAGCATCCTTAGGAGAAACTACAGCTCAGGACTGTAGTTATCCCCGTGGACAGAGAGGAGAAGGAAACTGAGGCACGGAGAGGGGAAGTGATTTCCCCAGCTACTGTCTCTCTCTTCTCTCAAAAAGGAGGAGGATCATATGAGTCTGAGTAATGGCAGTGGTTGCGTGAGAAGTAAGAGTGATGATATTGATGATAATATTGAGCCCTGCTAGTTAATAGATCTATGTTGGCAGAACACTCTTATTCGTTTTTCCATATTTTTTATTGAGATGGAATTTACACACTAGTATGAGCACCTGCATAATAATCTCACTGACTCAATAATCTCATCGACTCTTTACAGCAGCTGGGCAATAGGGACCATCACTCTTACCCCTTCAGAGGGAATCACAGGCACAGAGAGGTAAGGTGACTTACCCAAGGTCACACAGTAAGCGGCAAAGAGGGTCCTAACCATGGGATCCTCCTGAACCTGTGGTTCTCTTCCAGGGGCCCATAAGCGGCAGGAACTTAGTTCCCGGGGTGGGGGACTGGTGTTAACAGCCATAACAAGGTTCCTCCTTGGTTTTTCCACTTCGGTACTGCTGACATCTAATGCTGAATCCTTGGGGGGCGGTGGTCCTGTGCCCTAAAGGGTGTTTAATAGCATCCGACTAGCTACCCATCCACTGCACCCCCTAGGTTGTGACAGCTTAAAATGTCTCCAATGTGGCCACATGTCCCCCAGGGGGCAGAATGACCCTAGGTGGGAACCTCTGCGTAAGACAAGACCCTGGTCCGGAGTGGGGCTGAGGCTCAGGGGGGCACAGGCTGAGGGGGTACCGGGGAGGAGGTGCGGGCACTCACGCTCTGCATCTTGGCCTCCGTGTCCACAATGTTCTTCTCCACCTGGTCGGCATTCTTCTGCAGCTGATCGATCAGCTCTGACAGCTCCTTGTTGGAGATGCTGCGGGCAGGAGAGGAGGAGGTGAGCAGGGGAAAGGGGCAGGGGCCACGTCCCCACAGGGCCCTGCCACCCGGGCCGTCCCCAGGGTGAAGTCACTAAAGCCACGGAAACAAGACAGCACCTGGCGGGGAAATCAGCCCCCACGCTGGGGGCTTCTATTTGCCATGTTGGCAGAACACTCTTATTCGTTTTTCCATATTTTTTATTGAGATGTAATTCACACACTATAAAATTCACCCTTTTAAAGTATAACTCAGTGCTTTCTCATATACTCACAAGGCTACACAACATCATCACTATCTAATTCCACAACATTTTCATCACCCAGAAAAGAAATCCCGTATCCTTTTTATGGCTGAATAATATTCCACTGCATGGACAGCCCACATGTTTATCCATTCATCTGTCGATGGGCATTTGGGCATTATAAACCCTGCTACTGTAACCATTCAGGTGCTAGTTTTCGTGCAAGCACCCTTATTGTTACTAGTAAGTACCTGATACTCTTCTTTTAATCTACATAGTCTTTATATTTAAATAAATTTACTTAAAAGGTGAACTTGAGCTCCCCACTGTACACAGAAAACCAGAAGCCCTTGCCATAATGGAAGTAACTGCCAGAACGAATTCCATGGAGATACAATGGCAGCATGAGGTTCTGGCTGGCTGCGTGGTGGCCTGCTCAAGACCCAGCCCTGCCCCGTCTGGCTTCACAGCAGAGGTCGGCATGTATCACGGCCCAGCCAGAGCTGTGTTACACCGAGCGGAGACTTTCTCTTGGGGGTTCTCAGAGCTGTTCTGAAATCAGAACGGCTTTCCTAAGCCGCACTTCGGTGCTCTCTCCCGTTAGGGAACCCCGAAAGCTCATCACATACCCCTCTGGCAAACACTGCTGTGGTAGGGAAGCCCTCAGCCCTGGCATCGAACGTGGGCTCTGGCTGTGTGGCTTGACCAAGCTGCTGTACCCCTCTGTGCCTCTGCTTCCGCATCAGATGGAATAACGGCGCCTTTCACGGTGGGGTGTTAGGAGTGGGAGTGAGTTATACAGGCAAAGAGCTGGACCTCCAGCAAGTCTCACAAAGGTTTGTGATTGTTGTTAAAGAGCTTTACTGATCGTTGTTCAGTGCCACTTTTGCTGTTGTTTTCTTTAAACAAAGGAAGAAACAGACTAGAAAGGAAAAGCAACTGGGCCAATGTCGCCCAGCCAGCCAGATGGTCAAGATTAGTGCTCAGTCTCCCAATCTCCATAAAAAAACCCTTTTATACTGACTCCACGTACCCCAATCTCCATAAAAAAAGCCCTCTGTACCAATGCCACGGTGGGGCCTGAGCAGCCAAGCAGCCAGCAGTTTCATTCCACCTGCACTCATTAGCACCTACTGTGTGCCAGGCCCAGCACCACACGCAGACACAGCCTCGCCCTCTGAGAATTCACCCCTTAGACAGGAAGAAAATCAGCATTTACAGAAAGAGTCACGAGAATGAGGCAGGCATGGCAGCTGGGGATGCCCAGAGGAGCCTCCTAACAGGCTGGGTGGAGAGGGGTGATCAGGGAGGGCTTCCTGGAGGAGGTGGTGGTAGCTGGGTTCTAAAGGACGAGGAAGACGTGGGTTCATGGGCAGAAGGCTCCCATGAGGAAAGGCCATGAAAGAGACAGGTCCTGGGAGTGTCTCCTTGGTTGGACCAGGGCAGAGCTCTTGACCCTCAAGCCAAGGGGGCTGCCCCCTTTCAGAGTGGAATTCCTCACATCAAGGCCTGGGACCCATCTGCAGTGGCATGAAACCCTCAGATTCTTAGGCACAACCCAGACTTTCTGAACCCGGATCTCCAGAGCTGGGTCCAAAAAGCTGTATTATTGTTGCTGTTGTTTCTACAGATTCCCCAGGGGACCCTAATACCCTCTTGAGTTTGAGGTCCAACACTGCAGGAACTGCTGGTATGGGGAGAAGTCGGGAAGCAGATGTGGGTGCAACAAACAGAAGCCTATCTATCCACATCCCAAACCTTGCCTGAAGGCCTGCTCTGGGGGATGGGGTTGGGGTGGGGTGGGAGGGGGGACAGAGAGAATGACAAGATCCAGGCCATACCCTCTGCAAAGTCAACCAAGGAGGCAACCTTTCCCAAAGTGGGGTCCCAGGAATCCCAGGCTTCTAAGTCACTCTCAGAATGAAGTCTTTGCCAGTCAAGGCAGTTAGGAAAAACCAACCCCTCCATAAGTTTATGGCTCAGTAAAGGCTCTGAGAAGTCCTGCAAGAGAGAAAGCTGGTATTCAGTGGAGTGGCCAGGAAGGCTCAGTAGAGGGGACTGTGGGTGGAGGATCTGGGTAAGGAGGGGTAAGGGCGGGGCTGCTGGGTCATGGGCCAACCCCTAATGCTCCCACCCCCTGATGGGCAGACCACCTGGGGAATGTGAGCACTTCCGGGTCCCTCAGCCCCACCTTAGCCGCTGGTCCTTAGCCTGGCCTGTGAGACCGTGGGGAGTTTCAACCCAAATATTTAACCCATGACGGTGCTGGCCACCATCAGGAACCTGCAGTGTGGGTTAGGTGGGGCCTTCATCTCTCTCGGGCCCAGCCCAGCTGCACCTCTGGGTGTGGGGCCAGTTCCCAATCCAGCCCCTCCACTGGTTGGGGCAGGTGTGAGGAAAGGACCCACCCTGGCTGCCCATTATTCTAGTTAAAGGACCCACCCTGGCTGCCCATTATTCTAGTTAAGGCCCAACCGGAAGAGGACATGGGGCAGAGAGGGGGATGGAGACAGCCGGGCCCAGGGACCTGGGCTCCTACTGGAGAACAAAGGAGGGTTCAGCAGGAGCTTTGGGCCACAGAGGCGTGGGCTCCAAGTCCTGTTGGGCTGTTTATTGTTTGGACCATCTTACCCTAACATGCCCGTTTCTCTATCCGTGGACGGGGGTAACCACACAGGCATCATGGTAATTTGACACTTATAGACATCAGACAGGTTAGAAGGCACCACCCCCTACACCCAACAGCACCCACACCCTAATTCCCTGGGGAGGTTTGTATGCCCCTTTACAGATGAGGAAACCAAGGTTCAGAGATGTCAAGGCACTTGCCCAGGGTCACACAGCTTGTGAGTGTGGAGCCGGGATTCTCTCCTAGGGAAGTCTTGCTCTAGAGCAGCAGTGGCCAACCGGTGGACCACTGGTGGTCCGTGAGGTCCGAAAGGTTGGCGACCGCTGCTCTAGAGGCCACGCGATCAAAACTAGGCAACAGCTACTCATGGGAAAAATCACATGAGCCAACATATATAGCAACACCACCATTCTGATAGGGGCTCATATTTACTTTCTACACACCAGGCTCCCACCCCCTTCTTTAATCTTCATTACAACCCGGTGAGGTAGGTGTTGGGCCAGTGGGTAATCACTATTTATCATCCCCACTTTACAGATGAGGAAACTGAGGACCAGAGAGGTTCAGTAACTTTCCCAAAGTCACACAATAATTAAATGTCAGAGCTAGAATCCCAACCCAGGCAAGTCCCTTGTGCAGGCCATTAGCAAACCCATGTGACTATCTTGTAAGGGCTCCCGCACACAATAGGCACTTAACATACTAACTTAAAATGCCAAGTGCCCCAGCCCTGGCTGGTGTTGCTCAGTGGTCAAGAGCTTTGGCCAGGCACTGTGGGTTTGATTCCTGGTCAAGGGCATGTATCTGGGTTGTAGGTTCGATCCCCAGCCCTGGTTGGGGCATGTGCAGGAGGCAACCCATCGATGTGTCTCTCTCACATCAATGTTTCTCTCTCCCTCTCTCCCCCCATCTCCCTCCTTTCCACGCTCTCTAAAAATGAATGGGGAAAAAATTCTCGGGTAAGGATTAACAACAACAAAATGCCAAGTGCCCCAGACCACAATGGGATACCACTACTCACTCACGAGGATGGAAACAATAAAAAAGACAGACACTAACAATTGTTGACAAGGATGCGCAGAAATCAGAACCCTCACACGCTGCCGGTGGGGATAAAAGTGGTGCAGCTACTTTAGAAAACAGTATGGAAGTTCCTCAAAAAGTGAAATATAAATTTGCCGTATGACCCAGCAATTCCATCTGCCCAAGACAAATGAAGACATAGTCCAGAGGAAAGCGTGTACACAAATGTTCAGAGATCACAGAGCACTATCACAACAGCCAAAAAAGTGGCAACAACCCAAGTGGTCAGCAACCGATGAGTGACTAAGTGTGGTCTAACCACACAGGGAACACAATTCAGCCAGAAGAGGAGTGAAGTGCCGATACACGCTACAACACGGAGATACACGCTACAACACGGAGAAACCTGAAACCATCCTGCCGGGCGTCACACACTGTATGATTCCATTTATCTGAAATATCCAGACCAGGCAAATCCATAGAAGCAAACAAATGGGTGAGCGGTTGGCAGGGGCTGAGGAGAGGGGAGTGACTGCTAAGGGGGAGGGTTTCTTTCTGAGGTGATGAAAACGTTCTAAAATTGATTAGGGTGATGATTGTATAATTTGCTGAATACACTAAAAACCATGGAATTGCATATTTTAAATGCGCGAACGGTATGGTACATGAGTTATACTTCAGTAAGGCTGTCACTTGTAAGTGGTAGGGTTTTATTTTCTTCTTCCCTCGGCCTCTCGAGTCAGTCCTTCCTCCTGCTCTGCATGGAGGCTGGGCCTGCCCCAGGTTACGCCCGGCTGCCTGGAGGATGCTAGTGAACACTCAACAGGGGCTTGACCACGTCCCCGGCTGGCACTAAGCAAGTCACATACAGATGAGCTCATTTAATCCCCGCCGCCCCGCCCCCCGGAGTAGCACTGTTCTCCCATTTAGGAAAACTGAGGCAGAAGAGCGATCAGGTCACTTGGCCACAGTCCCACGGCCAGAAAGCAGGGCAGAGCCGAGCATGGCTCCAACTCCTTCACCCTTTGGGGTTAGGGTCCTGACCCAAGGGTCCTCATTCCTCCTGCCACCCAGTGGCCACAGGAGCCAGCGTGTCCCCATG